ATCATGTTTGGTCCTTTATCTATTTTCAGCACAAAAGAGATGTCCGTTTTATTGAATAGAAATGCAGATAATTCTTGGCTTAACTGTGTGCATGGACCATGTATCGACCAATTCTACTGTTGATGAGCATCTGGTTAGTTTTTACGTTTGACTCAGATGAATATTCTCCTTTAATACACACAAATTCTACCTTTGATTTATGCAGCTAAGACTGAAGTATGGAGGCCGGAGAGATAATACAACAGGTAGGGTGTTTGCCTTGCACATGGTTGACCCAGGTTCAATCCCAGAATCCCATATAATTCCCAAGAACCACCACTGCAAAACTAGGAGTAACTTCTGGTTACTGTGTGCAAAATCAGTCGTAACTTCTAAGCAACACTGAGTGTGGCCCAAAAACAAACAAAAGACTGATGTGTGTTCAACTTTCCCAAGCAGTTTCCTAAAGTGAACGTCACCATCAGCTCTCCTGATTCAGGTATAAGAATTTCAGTTGTTTATGGGGCTGGAGCGATAGCACAGCGGGTAGGGCGTTTGCCTTGCACGCGGCTGAACCAGATTCGATTTCCAGCATCCCATATGGTCCCCTGAGCACTGCCAGGAGTAATTCCTGAGTGCAGAGCCAGGAGTAACCCCTGTGCATTGCCGGGTGTGGCCCAAAAAGCAAAAAAAAAAAAAAAAAAGAATTTCAGTTGTTTGGGGGCTGGAGCAATAGCACAGCGAGTAGGGCATTTTCCTTGCACGTGGCTGAACCAGGTTCAATTTCCAGCATCCCATATGGTCCCCTAAGCACCGCCAGGAGTGATTCCTGAGTGCAAAGCCAGGAGTAACCCCTGAGCATTGCCGGGTGTGACCCAAAAAGCAAAAAAAAAAAAAAGAATTTCAGTTGTTCAACATAACCTGAGGCTGACGCCTAAGGATAGTAGGTACACAGAACAGATAGATTGCTCCATAGCTGAAAACCTGCCTCCTGAGCAAAGGGGAGAACGCAGCTGGAATAGAGAAGGGATCACTGAGAAAAAGATGGCTGGAGGAATCGGTCGGGATGGCAGATGTGTGCAGAAAGTAGATAAAGGACGAAACATGATAACCTCTCAGGGTCTGTATTGCAAACCATAATGCCCCAAAGTAGAGAGAGATTATGGGGAATCATGTCTGCCATGGAGGCAGGGGGAGGGTGGGAAAGGGGAGGTATACTGGGGATATTGGTGGTGGGGAATGTGCACTGGTGGAGGGATAGGTGTTTGATCATTGTGTGACTGTAACCCAAACATGAAAGCTTGTAACTATCACACAGTGATTCAATAAAATTTAAAAAAAAAGAATTTCAGTTGTTGGGGCTGGAGCAATAGCACAGTAGGTAGAACATTTTTCTTGCACATGGTTTGATTCCCAGCATCCCATATGGTCCCCCAAGAACTGCCAGGGTTAATTCCTGAGTGTAGAGCCAGGAGTAACCCCAGTTTATCACCGGGTATGACCCAAAAAGAAAAGAATTTCAACTGTTGAGGGGCCAGAGCAATAGTACAGAGATAGGGGGCACTTGCCTTGCAAAGAGCTGATCTGGGCTCAATTCTTGGAACCCCATATGGCCCCCCAAACTCACCAAAAGTGATCTCTGAGTGCAGAGCCAAGATTAAGTCCTGAGCATAACTTGGTCTCTTCGCCCCCCCCCCCCAAATTTCAGCTTCTCGGGGCCAAAGGGGTAGTATAGCACTTTGCTTGCATACGGCAGACCAGGTTGAATACCCCAAGCACCACTAGTAGTGAACCATATTTGAGAGCCAGTAGTAACTCCTTGGTCCCCCTAGATGAGTCCCAAACCTCCCTAATCCCAAGTTTTTCGCTGTTCCATGCTTTTCTAAACATTGATTTCATCCATCTTCAAGGGAGAGTATTTGGGCCACACCTTGCAATGCTCAGGGCTTACTCCTGACTCTGTTCTCAGGGATCATTCCTGACTTGGGGATCATATGTGATATTAGGGATCAAAACTGGATCAGCCGTTTGCAAGGCAAATATCCTACCTGCTGGACTATGACTTCAATCCTTCAACTTCACACAAGTCATTTCAATAGCATCACTGGGTGTGGAGTGGGATTGGAACTGACCTGTGGTGCTCAGGGACTTTCCTTGTTTGGTGCTCAAGAGTGACACCTAGGGTACATGGAGCGCAAGCCTTGGCACTGCCTGGCGCCTGAGTGCACAGCTGGATGTGTGAGTCATGGTGCCAAAAAAAGGCTCTTGTGTAGACAAAAATATTTATTATCTCTTTATTTTGCTTTTTGGGTCACACCTGGCGGTGCACAGGGGTTAGTCCTGGCTCTGCACTCAGGAGTTACCCCTGGCGGTGCTCAGGGGACCATATGGGATGCTGGGAATCAAACCCGGGTCGGTCGCGTGCAAGGCAAACGCCCAACCCGCTGTGCTATCTCTCCAGCCCTCTCTATATTTTAAAAGAATTATCATCTATTCAATCATTTTCAGGTGTGGTCCAACAAGCCGCCCCTTTTTTTTAGACAGAGAAGCAAGAGCACTAGTATAGTGAGTAAGGTGCTTGCCTTGCACCCAGCCAAACATTGATTTCAAAACATTGATTTCATCCTTCCATTGACTTCAAATACAAGTTTGATCCCCAATATTCCCTATGGTCTCCTGAGCCTCACCAGGGCTGATTCCTGAGTGCAGAATCAGAAGTAAAACCTGAGCTTAACGGGATAGAAACAAAAAACAAAAAACAAACAAAATTTTAGCGGAGATAAAGAAAAAGGGACTGCAGGGATTAGTACATTGGGTAGGGTGCTTGCCTTGCACAAGGCCAACCTGTGTTTTATACCTGAGTTCTACTAGGAGTGATCCCTGAGCACTGGAGAATGAATCCATAAAACAAAACAAACAACCCCCCCACAAAAATATAGATAAGGGAGGAAAAATCACATGACAGACATAAGGTAGGTATCACTATGGAACTGCTTTTGATATTTTAGGGATATTCCATGCCAATGCATAGATACTTCTTTTTCTATTCATTTTTGTTTTTGAGCCATCCCAGCACTGCTCAGGCATTGCTTCTGGCTCTGCGCTCAGGAATTCCTCCTGGTGCTGCTCAGGGAACCTGATGAGATGCTGGGGATCAAACCTGGGTTGGCCACGTTCAAGGCAAATGCCCTACCCACAGTTCTATCGCTCTAGCCCCTGATACTTCTTTTTTCAGGGGGTAGGATGTTGGGTCACATCTGGTGATACTCAAAGGATCCTTCTAGTTTTGTGTTCAAGAGTGACCCTGGGAGTGCTTCAGAGTCATATGTGGTACCAGGGATCAAACGTAGGGTCTGCAGTATGTAAGGCAAGCACATTGCCTCCTATACTATCTCTCTGGTCCCTACATATCTTTCATTCCTTTTAATTGCTGAGTATTGCATTAAGTGCTTATTATTTTTTTTTTTTGGCTTTTTGGGTCACACCCAGTGATGCACAGGGGTTACTCCTAGCTCTGCACTCAGGAATTACTCCTGGCGGTGCTCAGGGGGATCATATGGGATGCTGGGAATCGAACCTGGGTCGGCTGCATGCAAGGCAAGTGCCCTACCACTGTGCTATCACTCCAGCCCCCAAGTACTTACTTCTGACCAATTTCTGTCTCTTACCATTCTTTTTTGGGGGAGGTGGCAGTGGCGGTTGTTTGGTTTTGGCCCACACCTGGCGATGCTCAGGGGTTACTCTGCACTCAGGAATTACTCTAAGCTGTGCTCAGGAACCATATGGGGATGCCGGGGACCAACCATAGGTTGGCTACATGCAAGGCAAACAACCTTCCCCACTGTACTATCACTCCTGCCCTATTTTCTTTCCGTTTGTTTCTCATGACAAGCATGTTTTGCAATGACATTGCAAAGGGGAGAATCTCTGCAGGATTCTCTCAGGGGTTACTCCTGCCTTTGCGCTCAGGAATCACTCCCTGGTGGTGCTCAGCGACCATCTGGAATGCTGGGGACCCAAACCCAGCACGCAAGGCAAGTGCCTTATCGACTGTACTATTATTCCTGCCCCGCTAGGGGGCTCAAATATTGGAGTACATGTCAAATACCTGCAAGATCTTGATTTTGATAGTGCCAGGCTGTGGCCCCTTTAAAAAATAAGTGATTGCACCAAAGCTGACAGCTGGCTGACAGCTTACTCCTGAGAGACTCCAAGCCACAACCAAGCTACGTTGCTCCCACATTCCTGACCCGCAGTAGTACGGCATGATTAACATGCTTTTGTTCTTTGCTAAGTATTTGCTACTGGTTAATTTTTTTGGCCACACCAGGCAATGCTCAGGGCTTACTACCAGCTCTCTGCTCAGGAATCACTCCTGGAAGTTTTGGGGGCATCCTAAAAGGTGTTGGGGATCGAACCAGGTCAGCTGAACCCAAGCAAGCACCGGACCCGCTGTAATATCTCTCCGACCCGCCAGGAGTAATTCCTGAGTACAGAGCCAGGAGCAATCCCTGAACATCGAGCCCCAGGAGTAAGCCCTGAGCATAGTTGGGAGTGGTCCAAAAACCAAAAAGAAAAAAAAAATGGAGGTGAGGAGAACAGAGAGTGTAGGGTGAGCAGAAAAATGCCAATCTCAATTTCTCAGTTGTTAATTATTTAGTTAGTTTTTTGTTTTGGGGCCACACCCGGAGATGCTCAGGGAGATACCTGGCTTTGCTCTCAGGAATCATTCCCGGCGTTGCTCGGGGGACCATACGGGATGCAAAGCCTTACCCACTGTACTATCGCCCTGGACCATGTCCGTTATTTAATATTACAGTTCGCACTAGCGGGCGTGGTCCAAAAGCTAAAAAGAAGTAGAAATAAAAAAGAGTAGAGTTCGGAGCGTGCCATCGTCCGGGAGACGAGATGGGAACTACGATTCCCAGAATGCAACGCACTCCAGGCCGGCGGCCGCCCCTGACCTGAGCAGAGCGTCCGCCACAACCCCCAGCATGCACTAGGTGGGCAGAGACTGTCGCGCTTCATGTTGGGAAGTGGGGTCGGGCAGCTTCCCCGAGGCGCCAGCCCAACGAGCGCGCCCATCCTTGAGACTACAATTCCCAGAGGGCTGTGCGCCAGAGGCCGGCGGGTTCCGTTGTCGGAAGTCCGCTCTAGCCCCGGGTCCCCCAACTGCAGCCTGAGCCGGAGCCGCCCAGAAGCCGTGGGACCTGGGCCGCTGGGGTCCGGACAGGGGTCGCCATGGTAACGGGGGCGCGCCCACGCCGGGGACGGGCAGAGGGTGGGTCCACGTGCGGCGACCCGAAACTCTGCGGGCTGCTGGACAAGCCCCCCTGCCGCTGTGCGTTGGTGTGGCCGGGCGTGGGCTCTCGGGCTCGGAGCCCATTGAAAGGCCGGGAACTGCGCGGTGATTCTGGGACGCAGGGGTGCCCCGAGGGGGCCTCGAGGCGAGGGGCACATTGGAGACCAGATGCCGATGCGGGGGGCAAGGCCGGGCGGCCGGGAGACGTGAGAGGCAGGGTCCCGGGGGTGAACCGGAGGAAACGGAGAAGAGGGGACACCCCCAGAAGTGTGTGGCCCGAACCTTGGAGGATGGCAGACCCCGGGTTGGCGCGAAGCAGGCTAAAAGCAGGGATGGGCGGGAGAGTGGCTAGATCTCGAATCCACGGAGGAGGAGCCAGGTGGGCACTGGAGACCGGAAGTAGCAGTTGCAGGGCCCAGGACCAGGGTCGGGAAGGCTGTAGGTAGAGATTGAGGCGCAGACATGAAAGGAGCTAAGGGGGCAGTTTCGAAGATCAGGACGTTGCCTTGGCATGCGTACCCTCGTTCCCCCCTCGGTGTTGGAGAAAGGATTCTTTGATCAAGGATCCGGGAGAAGGGGTGAACGGGGCAGTTTATCACGACACGGGGAAGTCTCCTCAAGTTTGGTCTTTGGAAGCCAGATGTGACCTTTGAGACAGGAACGAGGGGTGGGGAGGCAAGCCTGAAGTCAGAGAAGGGAGCGCCTCAATTGATCGAGGGCCAGGCAGGGGGTTCAGGGCTCCATCCCCAGCACCATAAAATCTCGGGGCTCAGACGCTCCTCTGAGCCCAGAGAGACGGCTGGAAACAGCAAGCAGAGGGTGGAAAGGAACCCATCCCAGGGCAGGGGGCCTTGGATCCCGAGGCTGTGGGAGGAATGAGGCTTCTCAGGACAGAGACCCTGAAGTGGAGAGTCAGTGACTGGGAGAGAGGCAGGAAGAGGGGAGCAAAAGCCATGGAGGGGGGCAGGATACAGAGCCCCCCTTTATGCTATCTCTGCAGTCGTGCTTGTGATTGTCTTCTGTGTGCGTTTGTCTGCTGCAGCCAGGCAGTCACCCATCCTGCCCCAATCCATGCCCTTTCCTTCCTGGCCAGCATGCCTGGGTCTGCTAGGAAGAACTTTTCCCCTGGCTCAGCATTTTCCCTGGCTCAGGGGTTCTTGGAAGTCAAGTGTAACTTCCTGTTTCTTGCTGGGGGAGGGGAGGCCCGAGTATGTGGAGAATGAGGCTGGGAAAGTGCCTGAGGCTCAGGGAAGGATGGGACTTTCCCCCAGGAGGACAGTGGGGCATTCTGGAGCAGTTCCCAGCTCTGTTCCTGAGGGCGCCTTTCCTCAGAGCCTTCAACCAGAACTGTACCCAAGGCATGCTTTCCAGACTTGCTGTCGACCCAGACTTGATCTTCAGCATCCCATAGCCCCCCCTCCCCCAGCATCTCCAGGAATGATCCCTGAACACAGAGCCAGGAGGAAGCCCTGAGCCCTTTCTCTTCTACCCCAAGGCACTTATTTTTTTAAAGTCCTGCAAAGGATGAGCTACGGAACAAGGTTTGTGAAGTGAGTCAGCCTTCAGAACTCTGCATCAAGTGTGGTGCAAAGCTGGGAGAACTTAGGGATTTTTGTTTGTTTGGTTTGCTTTTTGAGTCACACCCAGGGATGCTCAGGGCTTACTCCTGTCTCTGCACTCCGAAATTACTCCTGGTGGTGCTCGGGAGAACATATGGGATGCCAAGGATGGTACCTGGGTCAGCTGTGTACAAGGCAAACGTCCTCCCTGCTGTACTATGGCCTGGGAGAGCTGAGCCTGAGGCCACGTGCCAGGGTGAGGGTCCTGGGCCTTCTAAGGAACCTGGTTTTGCTAGATCGGGAAACAGACGCTTGGGGGGAGGTTCTCCTGCTTGAGGCCATTCGTCCAGTGGCTGGGGCACGGGCTTCGGCCACCTGTGGCCTGTGCTCCCCTGGAGTTTTAGGGACTCCCCTGGCCATCAGGACCATGCTAGAAAGGCTAGGCTGGGTGGGGCTGGGGGGTGAGGCCGCCCCACCCATGTGGCCTGTCCCCATCATGCCTTCCACCCCTTGCTGCACCCTCCCAGATCCGCTTCATCCTCATCCAGAACCGGGCGGGCAAGACACGCCTGGCCAAGTGGTACATGCAGTTCGACGACGACGAGAAGCAGAAGCTCATCGAGGAGGTGCATGCGGTGGTCACTGTCCGGGACGCCAAACACACCAACTTTGTGGAGGTGAGCCCCGCCACCCCCGGCTCGGCTTCCGGCGCACCCCTGCATCCGTACCCACCAGTCTCCATCCCAGGATTACCCCTGTGTCCCCACACCACCTCCACCGCTACTTCCGGTGCACCCCTGCACCCTGCGCCGTCCAGTCCCCACCCCAGGTGAACCCCTGTGCCTCACACCACCTCCACCCCTATTTTTGGTGCACCTCTGAGCCCCGTGCTGCCCCCATCCCTGCCCCTGGTGCACCCCTGTGCCCTGTGTTAACCCCATCCCCACTCCCGTGCACCCCTGTGCCCCACACCACCTCCACCCCCACTGCCAGTACACCCCTGCACCCGTGCCACCCCCATCCCTGCTCCTGGTGCTCACCAAGGGATGCCCCTTGCCACTTCCATCGTCACCCCCATCCCTGTGTGCCCCACACCACGTCTGCTGAACCACTATGCCCCGCACCCCTGCGCCGGGTCACCTGTCCAGGTCCCAACTGCCATCACCCTCCCATCCTGCACACAGAAAACTCATGCACACAGCATTTCTATGTGGTTTTTATTTTTATTTTTTTGAGGGGGTATTGGCCTCCCATAGTGGTGCCTGCGAGCTTGGGGGTCTCCCATGGTGAAATGTGGGATGGTGGTACCTGTCCAGGTTCACACTCACACGCACACAATTACTTTCTGGATTTGTGGTCACATATGGCAGCCCTGAGTTAGGGGAAAGTCTTGGCTCGATGCAGGGATGGAACCCAGGGTCTCCACATGCCTGGTCCACATTTTTGTCCTTTGAACCTTGTCTCAGGCCCCCTGAGACCGTGGGGCCCTGGGGTCCAGCTCCAGCCCCGATGTGAACCTTCACTGTCTCCTCCCCTCGATGTCACAGCAGTCACGCCCGGCTCCCTGCACCCCTCTCAGATGTCCTGTCTGTTCTTTATCCTGTCTTGATTCCCTGCCGGGGTCACATGGGGTGGCGGTACCCCAGAGCTGACTCATCCCAGCTCAGCCTCACCAGCCTCAGGCTTGCAGGCAGAGGCCCTGGGAGCCCCCCCACTTTCCTTGGAGCAGGTCCCACCTTTAAGCCTAGGGTATTTGCCTTCCCTGCCCCTGGGGCTGCTTGATGGGGGGGTTGCGCCCGGCTGACTGAAGTGCTCCCGCTGGGGCTGCCTGCCAGGTTACGGTGATCACCAGAGCTGGGGGAGGACATGCTACTGACTCTGTGTCAGGGGACCTTCTGTGGTGCCGGGGATCAAACTGGAGTTAGCCAGACTTTACACGTGGGACACCCAATTTCCATCCCTTGAAACTTTAGAGTCTCCCACATTGGGTAGGACCCCAAAACCCTCCAAACAAAAAAAAGCGAAAAGTCCCTGAGTACCACAGAGCTGGCCCTGGGGTCTCCGGCATGACTGATTCCCACTTTCTATGCGTGATATCTAGCCCCCAAGCGTGTTCAAGAGCACTCCCACCATCCACCCGTGGTGGATTTAAAGATGCATGTTGGCTCCTGTGGTGGCCACCAGGTGGCAACAAGCAACAGTGATTGTGGTTCAGATTTTGTTTCAATTTTTTTAATTTAAGTTTTCTAAATTTTATTTTTATTTATTTATTTTGTTTTGCGGCCAAAACCTGGTGTTGCTAAGGACTTACTCCCGGCTCTGCACCATGAATCACACCTGGTGGTGCTCAGGGGACCCTTTGAGATGCCGGGGACTGAACACAGGTTGACTGAATGCAAGGCCAACACCCTCCCTACTGTCCTATCACTCTGGCTTCTCATTCAGATGTTAGTGGGAGACCCTGTGCCTTGGCAGTCAGTCAGCCTGTCTTTGCACCTGCTACCTGCACCACCCCAGGCTCTGATCACCCTGCTCAGGGTCTTCCTGCTCCCAAGCTCCTGTCTGAGTGTCCAGAACTCAGTTCAGATGCCCCCTCCTCCAGAAAGCCCTCCCAGATGCTTAGGCTAGGTGGAGTGGAGCCAGTGTCCCTGGACAACTCCCCTGGACTGGTATCTCACGAGAGCAGGGTCCTGGGCCCCAACAGCCTCCCTTCCTATCAGATCCCACACGCAGGGCCAGGCCTCTGGGAGCCCAGGAGGACAGCAGGCCTCTGTCCTCAGGCCCCGCGCTGCCTGGCTCGGCAGGTCCTGGTCCTTTCCTGCCTCTGACAGTCTCTCCGGCCCACAGTTCAGAAACTTCAAGATCATTTACCGCCGCTACGCTGGCCTCTACTTCTGCATCTGTGTGGACGTCAATGACAACAATCTGGCCTACCTGGAGGCCATCCACAACTTCGTGGAGGTATGTGTGTTGGTGCTCCCCGCCTGTGTGGGGGGTGCTCCCCGCCTGCACTCCTGCTTCTCCCCCGGTATGCACAGTGCTCCCTGCCTGCACCTCTGCTCCTCCCGCCTGCACACAGTGCCCCTTCCTGCCTGCAGTGCTCTCGCCCCCTGCCCCAGCCTCTCTCCCTGTGCCTCAGTCTCTTTTTCACTGTCTGGGATGGGGACCTGGGTTAATTTCGGTCACACCTGCCTATGCTCAGGGGCTACTGCAGGCTCAGTAGGAGCCCCTGGAGGGGCGGGGGGACCGGGATCTGCTTCCTGCAAGGCAAGTCTCTTTTTGATTTTTGTTTGGGGGGCCACACCTCGCAGTGTTCAGGGATTTCTCCTGGCTCTGCATTCAGGAATTACTCCTGGTGGGACTCGGGAACCATATGGGGTGTCAGGGATCAAACCCGGGTTGTATGGGATGCCAAAGATTGAACCCAACTCAACTGCACACAAAGCAAATACCCTCCCTGCTGTACTATCACTCTGGCCCCTTGTTTTATCTGTTGGGGTCACATCCAGCAGTGCTCAGGGCTTACTCCTGGCTCTGCACTCAGTGATCACTTCAAACGGGCTCAGGGGACCCTACAGGGATCGAACCCGGGTCTGCCGTGTGCAAGGCAAGTGCTTTCCTCTCTATACACTACCTCTCTGGATCCTCAAGGCAAAGTCTTAACCCCTGTACTATCTCTCCAGAGAGCCCTGTTTTGGCCCTTTTTTTTTCTTTTAGTATCTTTTTGTATCTTTTGCAAAAGCACAGCGGTGGGGCACTTGCCTTGCAGGCAGCCAGCCCGGCTGAGCTGAGTTCAATTCCTCCGCCCCTCTCGGAGAACCCGGCAAGCTACCGAGAGTATCTCACCCGCACAGCAAAGCTTGGCAAGCTACCCATGATGTATTCAACATGCCAAACACAGTAACAACAAGTCTCAAAATGGAAACGTTACTGGGCCCGCTCGAGCAAATCAATGAACAACGGGAGGACAATGGCAGTATCCTTTTGGGGGGTGTCACTCCTTGGTGATACTTGGGGGCCCCTGGTGCAGGTCAAACTCGGGGTTCTCACATCCTCTCTCCCTGAGGCCTCTGCCTGGCTCTCCTTCAGGGTAACTTTCGTTCTTGTTCACTCTCTCTCGCGCACGCTGAGTTCCAGCCTCCCTTGCCCATTGCTCTCCTCTCTCTCTCTCCCTCTCTCTCTCTCCCCCCCCTTCTCCCTTACCCTCTCCCTCTCTCCCTCCCCTCTTCATGCCTCCTACCCCTTCCTCCCACAGGTCCTCAATGAGTATTTCCACAACGTCTGTGAACTGGACCTGGTCTTCAACTTCTACAAGGTGGGCATCTGGGGAGAGGGGTGGCTGGGTAGGGTGCTGGTCACCTCCCACCTGGGTTTGCCACTTTTATGTCTTTGGAGGTGATGGGGGTCTTCCGAATAGGGGGCCCAGGGATCATGCCCGGCCGACAGGTGGCTCAGTGCCGGGGATGGTGCAGGCCCGGGCATACGGTCAGGCACGCGCACCCCTCGGTCTTCCCACCCCCAGGTCTACACGGTCGTGGACGAGATGTTCCTGGCGGGCGAGATCCGCGAGACGAGCCAGACTAAGGTGCTGAAGCAGCTGCTGATGCTGCAGTCGCTGGAGTGACCCGCCGGGGCCCCCCCACCTCCGCCCCTGCCCAGACTCGCCTGCCTGCTTCCCCCTCCCTCAGCTGCCCCGGAGGAGGGATCCCAGCTGGGCCTGGGTCACATGGGAGCAGTCGGGGTCCCCCCGCCCCGAGTGGGCCGAGGCTGCCCTGTCTGTGCCGAGTCGCTGTGCCGTTGTGGTGTGATGCCGTGATGTGCTGCGTGGAGCCCCCAATAAACCCGTGGTCCTGCCTGGTCGCATCTCTGCACCCTTGCCTGTGTCCCCCAAGGACCCTGCAGCCCTTGTCGCGCCCCCCATCCACAGACAATCCCCCAACTCCCCTCCTTCCTAACCTGACTACACAGCTCCCCTCCATCAGTCCCCCCCATAGCCCCCACACTCCCAGTTCGGGGCCGCTCAGAGGCACCCAGAGCACTCATGCCTGAAGCCATTATCTGTCAGTGCCCAGTGGCCTCGGGTCCCCATGGAGTCATCCCCTTGTTGGGAGGGACTATCCCTGCAGCAGCGCCTCAGACAGTGCCTGCCCCCATGTCATAGCTAAGAAAACAACCCAGCCCCCATGAGCCAAAGGGACCTGGCAACACCTCACATCACACTAGTGGTGAGATACCCTGCCTTTCTTGGGAGTGTGGGGATTTGCCTGAGTACCTTAACAGGAGAGCACAGAAAGACGAGGCCTGGAAGGAAGCAGGAAGAGAGGATGGAGAGAGATGGGTGGGAAGTCAGGTGGCCAGACAGGTGACTGTTATGTTCATTAGACAGGGGAATGGAATAGTGGTATTTGGTGGATGGATGGGTGGGTGGATGGATGATGGGGGGATGGAAGGGTAGGTGGGTGCGTGGATGGATGATGGGGGGGTGGGAGGGGGGATGGGTGGGTGGGTAGATGATGGGAGGCCACTCAGTGATCTTCGTTGGAGAGTCTCCATCTCTGCTCTCTGTGAATAGTCTCATCATGAAACAACAAGCTTGTCACCCTCCTCAAGCTTGTCACCCTCCTCAAAAGGGAGGCAGTGGCCTAGCTGCAGTCTGAGCACTTGAATAGTGAGAGTTGGTTTTGTTTTTGTTTTGCTTTGGGGCTACACCCCACAGTGCTCAGGGCTTACTCCAAGCTCTGTACTCATTACTTCTGGCAGGGCTCAGGGGGCCCATATGGAGTGCTGGGATGGAACCACAGTTAACCACTGTATTATCCCTGACCCTATAAAGTGCTTTTAAATAGAAATACACATGAAACAAAGAAACAATGTATATGTGAGCAAAATAGCAATACCTCAAATAAGTCTTTAAATAGAAGCCTTTAAATAGAACTGTGAAATACAGCAATAAGAAACAATATGATTCATAAGACTTTTTTTCAGTTTTTGGACCACACCCCGGGTTGCTGAGGGCTGACTCCTGGGCTCTGCACTCAGAATTATTCCTGGCAGTGCTCAGGGGACCCTGTGGGATGCCAGTAATTGAACCAGATTGGTTGCCTGTAAACCAAGCACCTTCCTGGCTATACTGTCTCTCCAGCCTCATATGAAGAATCTTTAAATAGAAACATACATGAAAAAAAGCAACACTGTATATGTGAAAAATAACAATGTATATTATCTAAAGTGTCTTTAAATGGAAATATACTTGAAGCAAAGCAACATCTGTTTGATACAAGGTAGCTAGACAGAATCACAAGAAAAGCAACAATGTATATGAGCAAAGCTATAATGTGGAAGATGTCTCTTCTTTTATTTATTGATTTATTTATTTTGCTTGTTGTCATTTTTGGTTTACTCCTGGTTCTGCACTCAGGAATTACTCCTGGCAGTGCTTGGGGGACCCTATGGTCAAACCCAGGTCATCTGCATGCAAGCCAAATGCCCTCCCTGCTGTATTATCTTTCCAATCCTTCATTCAATTTTTTTACTTTTGTGATTTTTTTTTTTTTTTGGCCCTCACTCTGGCCATGGCTCAGGGATCCCTTTTGGCTCTGCACCTGGGGCTCATTCCTGGAGGGCCTCGGGGCACTATATACAGTGACAGGGATCAGACTCAGCCAGAGACACGGCATGTGCCCTACCCACTGTACTATCTCTCCTACCCCATGACATTCTCTCTTATTGTGGGGTGGGGAGTTCCCATTTGTTGCTCAGGAGACCTAGGGGACCCACTGGAGATTCTTGGTCAGTTCATTGCCAAGGAATGAACTGCTCAGGCCTATGGTTCAGCCCGCCCCCCCCCGCCCCCCCGCCCAACACACTGGAGATGCTCAGGGGACTTTATGGGTTTTGTTTGTTTTGGGTCACACCTGGTGATGCTCAGGGGTTACTCCTGTCTCTGCACTTAGGAATCACTCCTGGCGGTGCTCAGGGGACCCTATGGGATGTTGGGGATTGAACCCAGATTGGCCACGTGCCAGGCAAATGCCCACCCCACTGTACTATCGCTCCAGCTCCTGAGGGGACTTTGTGCTTCTGAAGCTAGGCCCAGTCAGCCGTGTTAGGCACTACCCCAAACACTACCTGAGCCCCCACCTCTCCTATAACATGGTTTTGGAATTTGGGGGCCACACCCAGCAATGCTCAAGGTTTACTCCTGGCTCTGTGCTCTGGGATCACTCTTGTCAGTGCTCAGGGGACCATATGGGGTGCCAGGGATTAAACCCAGCAAGTTGGCCACATGCAAACGACTTTCCCGCCATCCTGTTGCTCCCCTCCTCACTACCCCCCACCCTCCGAGATTGTCGATGACTCCAACAACAGGCATCTCAAAAGAAAGTTTCTGGGGCCAGAGCCATAGGTCAGTAGGCAGGGCACTTGCCTTGCAGGTAGCTGACTCTGGTTCAAGCCCTGGCCCCCCAGACGGTCCCCTGAGCCATATCAGGAGTGATTCCTGAAGGTAGAGCCAAGAGGAAGTCCTGAGCACAGATGGGTGTGGCTCAGAAACAACCCCAAAGCAGCAGCACTGGAAAACAGGCTTGTCGTGCAGCATTCAGGGATGTTGTTCCCCCACCAAAAAAATAAATAAAAAACAGGGAAAGGGGCTAAGAGGTCAAATATGGTCAGAAGCTGCATTGGGCTCCAGCCCAAATGGTGATGGAGCCTGTGAGCCTCCAAGTCCCGCTGAGCCACAGATGATGCCAGTGTGTCTGTGTTGCTCTCCCAAAATGGCCAAGTACAAAGGGTACCGTATGGGAGGAGATAAGAGGGAGCATGTCCTGGGGCCAGAGAAAGAGTAACTGCAGTACAGAGGGCACTTGATCCCCGGCACCCTATACGGTTCTCTGAGTCTGCCAGGAGTGACCCCTCAGCAGAGCCAGAAGTCAGTCCTGAGCACAGCTAGGTGTGGCCCCAAACCCTAAATAAATAAATAAATACAAAAAGAGCATGTCTTCCCAGACTCATGATTTTTTTTTTAATTAATTTTGAGGGGCTGGAGCTATAGTACAGCGGGGAGGGCATTTGCCTTGCACGCAGCCAACCTGGGTTCAATTCCCAACATCCCATATGGTCCCCTGGGCACCACCAGGAATAATTCTGGAGTGCAAGAGTCAGGAGTAACCTCTGTGCATCGACAGGTGTGACCCCCCCCCGCAAAAAAAATAAAGGAAAAAAATTAATTTTGAGGGACACACCAGCTGTACTCTGGGCTCACTCCTATCTCTGGGGACTCAAGGAACTAACCTTACTTGGTACCCAGGGTTGACCCTGATTGGTCACTTGCAAGACAGGTGTCCTTTCCATTGTTCCATTGCTCCACTCCCAGACCGGAGATACACACAGATACCTAACAACTCTCTTGGCTCTCTCTCCACATTTCCTCTGAATTTTTTCTCTTACTAATTTTGAGAAGCTCACAATCTATGCTTTTGTGGAGTTTCGTTTGTTTGGGGGAGTTTGAACCACATCTGCCTGTGCTCAGAGCTTACTCCTGACCCTGTTCTCACGGATTCCTCCTGGTGGGACACAGGGGACCCTCTGGGGTGTCGGGGATGGAAGCTGGATCATCCATGAGCAAGTGCCCTAACTTCTGTACTATCTCCCTGACCCTTGTTTTCTGTTTTAATGTGGCCAGGTTTAGAGTTGGAGATGAACTTTAAAAAAAAATTTTTTTTTATTGAATCACAGTGAGATACACAGTTACAAGGTTTTTTGTTTTTTTTTAATGATTGGATTTTAGTCATAAAATTTGTTTTTTTTTTTTTTGCTTTTTGGGTCACACCCGGCAATGTACAGGGGTTACTCCTGGCTCTGTGCTCAGGAATTACCCCTGGTGGTGCTCAGGGGACCATATGGGATGCTGGGAATCGAACTCGGGTCGGCCGCGTGCAAGGCAAATCCGCTGTGCTATTGTTCCAGCCCCTAGTCATAAAATGTTTTAACACCTGTCCCTGTCCCTTCACCAGTGTACATTTCTCACCACCAATGTCCCCAGTTTCCCTCCTGTCCCTCCTATAACAGGCACTTTTCTCCTCTCTCTCTCTCTCGCTCTCTCTCTCTCTCTCTGGCTAGGGCATTATGGTTTGCAATACAGATACTGAAAAATTGTCATGGATATTCCTTTACCTAGTTTCAACTCTCAGTTCTTGTCCAGAGTAATCAGTGGTCACTTTTTTTTTTTTTTTTTTTTTTTTTTAGCTTTTTAGGTCACACCCAGCAATGCTCAGGGGTTACTCCTGGCTCTGCACTCAGGAATTTGTCCTGGCAGTGCTCAGGGGACCATATGGGTTGCCAGGAATTGAACTCAGGTTGGCCTCGAGCAAGGCAAATGCCCTACCCACTGTGCTATCGGTCCAGCCCCCAGAGTGATAATTTCTAATAGAGATGAACATTTTCAGTTTCAGGGGTTAAGATGAATGCAGGACAGAGCAAATCAAGCGTTTATCTTGCATGTGGATGATTCCAGTTTGTTTCCTAGCACTATATAAGGGCCCCCACAAATAAAATAATAATATAAGAAAATCTGTCTTTTCAAATTCTGGCTTCTCCACTTCAGAGAAAAACTCACTCCCAGTAAGACAGAGCCTGCTTTTTCTTGTCAGGATTCTCTTTTGGTGAGGCCATTTGTTACTCAGTGCTGTGGTAATTCCAGATAGATAGTAGCACCAGCCTTTTGGAGTAGTTAAGCAGATGGCTCTTTAAGCACTTTTAAAATGATATTCCTTCCTCAAGATGCCAGACCTCTGTTCTCAGGAAAGGGTCAGCATGTAGTAATTTTATTTCATCAAGACATTTCAGTGTCATCTGCTGGACAA